CTATATGCACTTTCAAATCACAGTGGGACTACTTACAACGGACATTACACAGCATATTGCAGACACCCATATAGTGGCACGTGGCATGAATATAACGATTCACATGTGTTCCCAATTTCGCCAAAATCACTTGTGAGCAATGAGGCATATGTCCTCTTTTATGAACAGGAGGGAACGAAGCAGCACCTTTGATGTGATTTTTTTTTCGCCTTTCCTTTTTTTATGATCTCTTTAGTTCTTTGAATTGATTTATATTTCATGATTGTTCCAAATTTAATTGTTTATTGTTCAAAAGAAAAAAAAATCTGGCAAAAACTTAACAATCTGCACTGACAGCAGACAAGCCCTATTAGCTTTGAACAGACAATGTGTTACCTCAGTGCTGGTACTAGAGTGCCACCAAGATTTAGCCAAAACCTCGGTAGATAATAACATTATCCTAAGGTGGATTGAATGGCACGACAGGAGTAAAGGTAATTGCATTGCCGACTCTTTAGACGAAGAAGCGGCTGGACTAAGAATTTTTGGACCGAGTGGCACCTATGGCCTGATGACTTCGACAATTGGAACTAGCCGAACATTGCAACCATGATCAATCCCTGAAGAGATGAGATGTAATCAAAGGATGCAATTTTGCCAGAATCACCCTGGGCGACCCTGAGAAAGGAAGATGAAACTGTCAGGCATGTCCTATGCGAGTGTCCGTCAATAAGAAAGTGGGTGTTCGGCGAGTCTTGGCCTACACCTGCCGATATAAAGGAGCTGTATCCTAGTGATCTGTCCACCTGCCTGGGGAGGACAGGATGGACGATGACCGAGGAGGACAACTTCTCGGGAGGATGTACAATGGGTCACATGTGGTCTAAGTGATGTGGGTCTACACTCGCCCTCATGACAGAGAATATTGAAAAAAACTTCTTCGAAACACAATGGAAAAACCTCACGGCAATGTGAGTACAAACTTTTAAAGATCTTAGCGACACTACCTGTTTGCACATGTACCCCTGAAAGAACTTTACCTTCTCTGAAACGCCTCAAAACTTATTCAAGAAACTCCACAAGCCAGGAACGACTAAACGATTTGGCGTTAATGTCAATCCACCGTAGAATTGACATCGACACCGTGGAGGTAATTATTTGTTTGCTGCAAAGAAAGCTAGAAAACTAAATTTGATTTTGTAAAAAGATGTTAATATTTCTCTAATGGTTTTCTAATAAATATATATGATCATGTAACACCATTTTCTTTCTTTCATTAATTTTTATATTTCATGTTTTTCTACTGTTCCACCAAACCAAAGCCCCCCGAAATTGTTTTCTGGCTACTGCCTTGGCTGGAATGATTTTAATGTTATGGTATGGGGCATTATCGGTCACAACTATCGAATTCACAGGTAAATTTGGGATTGACTTGTTATCATTTTCCATAATTTTAGAATTCATTTCTGAATGATAATTCCCTGATTTGTTCCTCATTTAAATATAAGCCAACAATTAGGTATAAAACCCATGTCAACTCCTGCAT